TACCTTTTTCCAAGCAACTCCTTATGCTTTTTCAGTGCATTTTGTGCATATTCCTCACAAGCAAACAACACAAAGGCATCCCCTGTTGGCCTGCTGTCAGGGTACGTGACAAACAGGACTCCCTCCTTTCCTCCTGTGACAGGGCAGTGCTGGCCAAAGAATGTCAGCACTTCTTCTGTTGTTACATTGAAAGGAAGACCTCGCATCCTGACAATCACTTGGTTTTCTTTTGACAAGAACTGTGCAACCTCGTTGGAAGTGCCTTTAACAAAAAGAAGTACAGAAGCACTTAAGTCTAATCAGCCACATAAAATCATGAGCAAGTCTGGCATAGCTTCTTCTACCTCCCCACAGACAGTTTTTGAGCGGGTAGAACAACGTTTGCCTCCAAGTCAGCAAAAGATGTCCCACTTTGATAAACTAGAAATAAGGTATAGGACACGTCCCGTTAAAGTCTAACAGTGTTACTCCATCATTTGGAAGAGATTTCTTTTTACTCAAAGGGAAAACACAAAGTACTTACAATGTTCAGAGCTCAAGGAAAGCACAGCCTCTGAACCTCTTGCATGAGCAGTATCTGTGCTACTGTGCACCTCACCTTTTTAACTTATGAATACCTTTGGCACACTCTGAAGCCATAACATATAGTGACCAAGTACTCAGACCATTGCACTGGGAAAGAAAGCTGGAAGGGCATGTTGAAAACAGCTCACGAATTTTATCCTATCCTGATAAAACTGTCAAAGTCTGCCAATTCTACCTTCAGTATCTCAGGATGACCACTGGTGTTCATACTTATAACATTACCCTAACCAAAGTTAGCTGCTAACCAGCTTCACATCTTAATCTGGTCCTTTCATTTACAGCTAGCTCACTCTGCAAAGAAGTTTGGTGGTGCCAAACATGCACTGTCTTTCCCCCATGTCAGTGTGCAATGTCTTTACTTTGAACAGTATAACTATTACCAAGCCTATCAATTAGCTATTTATTTGACAGCTTAATAGCCTCTCCCACTCCAAAACCTCAACCTCTGACATCCAGTTTGTCATTTACAATCTCCAGACCAAATCTCTGTCAGGAACCAACAAGGACCTGTAGTATTGGAGATACAGAATTTGAGTGAAGATTCAATAAACTGTTATGTATGGTTGCAGTCATAAAGGGGAGGAAAAGAGACCATGTGAGAGTTTGTAGAGCAAGTTTTGCAGCCTTTCAATTCAAAGTTGCAAATATTTCAATACTCCCTTTAAATAAGCATTCCCCCTAAATTCCCTCTTTAGTTTGGGGCAAAGATTTGATTTGAAGAAAATCAGTTCCATAAATCCCTTCTTATTTACACTGTGATATCTGTTTCCTTTTATATGCAAGTCTCCACAGCAACAGCAGTCATTGTTTTGAAAAAACTACTGGGTTGGTTTTTCTTCAGCAATCAATAATATTTAGGTCCCTTCAGTTAAGAAGACAACCTAATAAATTAAGTTCATATGCAAGATTACCTTGCCTGATCAAATCCTTATTTGACAGGCTGCTTGAAAATGGCAAGCATGTGGAAAAGAAAGATGGACAGATAAATCATGGGACAACTTGGACTGCTGCTAGCAGAGTACATAGTAATCAACACACCAGCCAACTACTTGTTCAAATAAAGAAAGTGAAAAGCCACATCCAACAGGAGCCGTTTACAGTCAAAATTTGCAGATGCTGATGGAACAAACCTTCCCTTCTCACTCCCTAAAAATTACCTCCTGCAATTTTAAGGAAGTCTTCACCTGTTGCCTTGTATACCTAAAGAAAGAAGACAGAACATGTGATTGGGATCTTATTTACACTCCTGTTGAGAGGAGTATTTCAAAGCCAATGTCACACACCTCAATGTATCGATTCCCCATGTGATGCTTGTGCCTTTGTAGTGCTAGATCTCTATGCTCTTCACTTACGAACCTCACAAGAGCCTCCCCATTCCTTCTACCTTGGGCATTGAGACAGAGTGCAGCACCTCCCCTGCAGGATTTAAATCAAAAGAGAGAGAAAACTATGACTGACACAGGCAAAGTACTACCAATGTAGAGGCAAATTCTGAGCTACTAACTTGGCAATATTTAAGCCTTTGAAGAATCTTGCTATGTCCTGGTCAGACGACTGCCACGGCAATCCTCTTGCTCGGATAACGGCATTGTCGTCTACAAGTTCCATCTTGCTGCTGCAGGCACAGAAAGAGGGAGTAATGCAGAGACATCTGCCTGTAGTATCCACCATACGCCACCTTTCCCGCTTGTCACCTGTGCTCCAGGGACAAGCTACTGCCCCTGCTCCACATCTGCTGGATGCTGGCCAGGGCAGCATGGGCTAAGTGCCATCACCATCCAAAGCCACTGCACATGTCCCTCTTCAGGGAACATCTGCTCTGTTAAGCTGCCCCTTTCCCAGCTCCCCTCTCCTGCTTCACCACACTTGCTCCTTGAACTCTCATCTCTTGGAGCAGGTTTCTGATTTAGTCCCCACTCCCGACACACCAATGGCTTGTGCTTCTCCATTGTCTGAACAGAGTTACTGGTATAAAATTAAACTTGCTATTCTAATCTCAGCTAAGTGGAAGTTGAAGCAGAACAGTTAGATGTAACTGAGGTTAGTGCTTATTATTTGTACTGTGACAGGGTGGGTGAAAGAGCCAGTCACAACCCAAGATCAAATCTGTTCAAGGTTATACTCAGCGCACAGAGGACTCCTGCCCAAAGATTTAAGCTTTAACAGTGCTCATTCAGGCCATCACTGTGCTACTACAGACTAATATAGCTACAGGCTACATTGGCTGCTTAGCATGGGAATAGCTCAGCCACAGAGAGCCAGGTTTAATTGGTCATTACCACAGTCTCTTTTGTTCTCTTACATGTTAGAAGTGCCACCTAGAACAAAACACTTACAGCTATCCAAGGCTGCCTTTCTGGCTATTGCAAGGACAGGTTTTTTTATGCACAGAAGAGACTATAGGATTGATTAAGCAGATGAAGTGCTGTTCAGCAGCAGAGGACTCCCTCTCACAAAAGGGTTGTGGTATGTCCTGTTGAAGGAAGGTCATGTTTCTTGCTTATATTTTAATATCTCAGGTGGCCTTTCTGTAGGTGTCTGTCCCAAACTGTTCCCTCCTGCCTGCTAATTCTGTGCTTCTCACTATCGCAAATAAAATGGGAATCTTCCACCTCATTCCAGGATTTTTTTCTTGAAAGGGTAAAAAGCTTAGAACAACACTAAAAAATAGCTCTTGAACTAATCCCACTAGATACTTTCTGCCAGTATTGCTGCATTCTTTTCTTGCTTCTTTTGGCTCAGAAGTGCGAGCATCATCTACCACTATGACAGTTCCTTAATCTGGAAGAGGGAATTAAGTACTCAATGCAAGATGGGAATCTAAGTAAGGTCACTTTAACATCAGTCTCTTCTGACACTGCAGATGGAGTATCCAGCAAACCACTGAGAAAAATCTCTATTCGCACAAATAAATACATGATTACATTTGCCCCATCCCTGGAAGTGTTCAGGACCAGGCTGAATGGGGCTTTGAGCAACCTGGTCTAGTGGGAGGTGTCTCTGCCTATGGCACAGGAGTTCAAACTAGATGATCTTTAAGGTTCCTTCCAACTCTAACCATTCTATGATTTTTAAAAAAACAACAACAAAAAGCTTTATCTACTTTTGATCGTTATGTTTAAGACACATTTGGAAAGAAGACAATCGTCACAGCTTAAGCAATTAACTGCTAGCACAGTATCTTTCTGGAAATGTTTCTTCCCTATAAAAAAACCCCAACATTATGTGTATTCAGTAACTGCGAAGCAAATTGCAGGAAAAGTACAAGAGTTAGTACCAATAGGGTTACTTCTTCAAAATTCTTACGTTCTTTGTTAATAGCACCACACACTTAACACCTATTATAAGTACTTATTAGCAGAACCCAGAACCACCAGCAGCTAACAAGCAACACTGAAGCCTAGTAAGAAAACTGACTTGCATCTGATCATAGATTATCTGTTCCCTTTCCCACTTAAAGCATCTAACTTATTCCCACAGCAGTCACAAGATAAATAAAAATAAAAGGAAGAACCATTTGCAAATTAGGAATACAGAGAAGTACAGTTTATCTAAGCAGTATCTTGGGGGGAAAAAAGAAGGGGGTGGGGGTGGGGGGAGAAGCAAGAAGAGGGAGAAGTTACTTACCAAGGCCCACTTTCAAATTTGTAGTTCACTCTTTCTGGATCTGAAAATCTGTGATCTATGAAATACAATACAAGTTATTTTCTTTTTTCCTCAGCATGCAAGAAAGGCAGGAAAAAGCAAGCAAGCAATGTAAAAACCTCATTCATCCCAATCACTTACTGTATGGTTCAGATATTAGTGTTAAAATAATATTCCCCATATCTTCAACTTGAGAGGCTCCATAGGGAAACGCTGGACTGTTCTTGTCAAGATTTAAATCTTTATGCTGGAGTTAAGTCAATCATCACCAAACAGATTTCTAATTGGCTTCCTGCTAGAGCAATAAGCTTTCATGTTATCCTTGATGGTAAGTCGCTTCTCAGGGGAAGATTTAATCCATTTTCCTGCTGGGATACATTAGCTGTTCTGCCTTAGCCTCTAACTACTGCCACCTGCGGGAGTGTGAGGTCACTCCAGAAAGTGTCTGGGGACATGAGACCCCATAATAAGAACACATATATATTTAATATACTTATGCATTATGTATGTTTGACAGATACACTTTTGCATGCAGAAGAGACTGGAGTCCTGTCCTCTTTAATTAAGATCTTCTTTAATCTCTAGGCGAAGTCTCAGGGAAGGAGGAGAAGGAAGCCATTAACTAGAAGCTCCAGAAACAGGAGGATATATGACATGCTTTCTGAGCAAGTAAATCCCAAAGCAGAATAAATATCTTACCGCTTCAACAAAATTCACAAATGGCACCTTGTGTAAACCTTGCCTATTAGAAGTTACAACCTGAGGGTTTTTTCACTGTTACACAGAAACATTTTGAGAATCTGGTAAGAGTGCACCACTGTAGATAACCAAGAGATAAAACAGAGTCCCACAACCCACATCATCTTCTATCTGAAGGATTTTGGAAGATGATAGCAAGGATAAGCTCTCGTGCCAATACAGAGCCTGGAAAGACAGGCTGTAGAATGACCACATGGAAAATCCACATTCATAAAAGGACCCTGATTAAAGTTGTGTGAAAAAAAGATGGCACGTGCAACTTAAAACAGAGTTTACTATGTTATCTCTCCTGCTTCCTGCCATATTTGTCCCTCTCTAACACCAAGCTAGAGGACTGTAAAGTTACTTGCAACTCTACTCCATCAATTATAAAGCAAATTTTTTAAAAGGTCTTTTCCATTCACATATCCTTTGATAAGTGTGGGGTAAGAAAACCTGAGAAAAAGAAGTGAAATAAAGCAGTCTGGGAACAGGACTTGCTTTTTTTGACTTCTCTTATCACCTTGCATCAAGACTTCAGAGCAAAAGTGAAGGTGGTTCTTAGACAAGACCTATCCTGGCATGGCAGTACAGTAATGCAAGACATTCAAAACAGTCAAACGCACCAATTATTTGCCCACATCCCAAAAAACCTACATTAGACACATTTCAAATACTCAAAAATTTGAATTTTGATGCTCAATAGTTACTCCTTGGTCTCTTCTCTTAAAAGAAAAAAAGCTTTCTCCACCTAGAGCTGAGCACATTTTGAGTTGGCAGACGCCTATGTGAAGGGCAGCGAAAAGAAGAACAGCTTCTGTTAGAAACAGACACCACACACCAGCTTTGTCATATCATCTCATCAACAGGGGAGGCAGCACAAATTTCATTGTGAAATAAAGTCTTCCCTACTATTTGTGGGATGACCAAAAGACACACCTACAAAACAGATTTTTTTTTCACTTGTTTTTGAAATTTAACTATTATCTTGTTGTGAAATTGTCATGGTTTAAGTTGGACTAGCCACTGCAACAAATAACAGATGCTCTCCCCCACCTGTCCTGATAGGAAGAGAGAAAAGAGACTTATGAGTTTAGAAAAGAAACTAAACTACTTCAATTAAATATTAATAAAATAATTTTTTAAAATAATGAAGTATAGACAATATAAGCAAAACCAGTACAGAGCTCCCAGGATGAGGAATATATCACCAGCTGGCACTGGGAAAGTCCCAGACTGGACTCAGTGACAGACAGGAGCTGGATTCTGGATCTGGATTCAGGAATGCTTGGATTGGGATCAAAGGCAGACAAACGGAGTTCTCCTCAGAGTCAGCCACTGAAGAAAGAGAATGACCCCTTTGATCCCCCAGCTTTTATACTGAGCATGAGGCAGATGGGATGGAATACCCCATTGGTCAGTTTTGGGTCACCTGTCCTGTCCGCTCCTCCCCACAGGTGGGACCCCTCGATGGTTATCCGCTTCCAACCCTCCAACAGGGCAAATAACAAAGTTAACTGGCCTTGGGTGTTATAGCAATAAGTATAAGCAGGAGCCTCTCTGCATACCATGGCTGGGCATAAATTAAAAACAATCAGGTCTTATCTCTCTGGGAGCGAACAGCGTCTGAACAATATGCTGTTATTTCTGACAGCTCAGTTAGTTAGAAGATGCTTAGCTGCAAAGTAAAGCTACTGAACAGAAAAATGGTTCTGTTTTACCTCAAACCAGGACAGAGATGGAAAATAATTTCAACTGAATTAATGAACTCCTCTTCCACAGCAAGGAAAGGAAAGCTGCTGTGCTAACACAGTACACTGAGGCTAATTTGATTTTGAGGCTTTGTTGGTTTTAAGTGTGCATTGTAGTATGGAAGGTGAGAGGAGGCGCTTAGTTTTTCAAGAACATTCGAAGTTTAAGTGAATTATCCTGGTTTTAAAAAAAGAAAACTTAACCAGTGATCCCTCCCCTCCAACTGCTTGACTAAGTAGTTTGCTGGCCTTTTCCATTGCCCTCCCTCCTGGTACCTTCTTTGGAGCAGAGTAGCGAGAACATTAAATGGTTTTCTTAAAAACCAAGCTAAAAATCCTGAACAAAACACATGCAACAACCCTAAAGCACAGTTTAGGAGACTATCAATATTCATGACAACAGGAAGCTTCTTTGTTGCAGTATCTCTTCCTAAACTGTACACTCAAGCTCATCTCCTCCCCTGCCCCCTGGGGAAGGGGGGGTTGAGAAGAAAAATAATCCACAGACTCCCTTGCAGAGAGAGTGCTTAATCAGCATCTTATGGGTGTTTCTGGGCACCCCATGTATCAGAGCAGGAGTGTTTCTCCTCCTTTTCCTGACACCCTTCCCCCTGCAACATCTAAACTCCCCACTGTGCTTGTGCCGAGTCTCTGCTGCCCATTCAGGGAACCAGGAGCTGCTAAAGACACAGCTATTGGAACCCTGGTTCTGCCTGACCATTTCTTAATGAACATTTTGAAAATGTTAACTTTTCTCTGCCCAAGCAAAGAGAAATTAGACAGAAGTTTCAATAGCTATTACAGCAGGGGACAAGCTTACACATGTGCACACACGTGCGCTTGGCTGAGAGACTGCTGTCAAAACTGAAGAGGCATTTCAATATTTCCTTTTTGCAGAGCCAAAGATCCTTGCAAGCAATCAGCTACTGGAGAGGGGAATGCAGCAGCATGAAGGGAGCTGGGAACTCGAAGCAAGGCTATCACACAAGGAAAAAACAAACAACTCCCCCAACCTACGTTCATTTTCTTCAGAAAACATTTTCATTGAAAATAATGATCAACAGGAGATAGTTCCTAAAAACGTCCTAATGCTGACAGAAGTTGGTACCAGGTGTTCAGACACAGGGAGCCAGTTGTGCCAAGGAACTCCTAAATTAATATAAACACTGTGGGAGGGGAGGAAGAAAGTCATCAACATTAACAGCAGTGAGAAATCGCTCACGCCTTCCCCTCCGATTAGCTAAACACAAGTGGGTAAGACTGGAGAACAAAATTGATAGTTTTCTGCACATGTAAGGAATATGTTAATAATGACATTAACTAACTGAAAACCTGAAGTCTAGCGAACAAGACTGACTACAAACAAAGGGACTCCTATGAACAAAGGCACCAGAAATGATGGACACCTGGGGAAAAGCTGTTAATAGAATAGCCTTTATAAAACCCACCCCTTGTTCTGTGAAGGGATAGGAGACCACACGTGTTTGTGTACAGTGATAATTAAAGGTTGCCTCTCCCGGGCAATTGGAAAGTTGATTGCAGTGGATAAATCAAAGTTCACATTTAAAGAAGTGTTAGAAAACAGACCTGGCTGTCTAAATCTACTATATGCAATAGCATGCACACATATATGCTAAATGAAGCAACAGGCAAAAAGACACTCCCAAATAACAAGGCAGGACGGGAAAGACGGAACTTCTTAATCTTGCTGCATAGCTGCAGCACTCAGGAAGTTAGTAAAAGTGGTGGGGGGAATATATATAAGGGTTGCCTATATAATATGAAAGAAGTTTCGAAATAATTTCCTCAGATTCATCACCACAGCTTCACCCCCTGCCAGCAGCCTCCAACTTCTTTCCTCCCACTGTCTCTTCCATGTCTCAGTCTCTCAACTCCTTTCTTAACTATGGCAAAAGAAATACTGAATGACTAACTTAGCTCTGAGATGACATGAACTAGTATTGTAATTGTGTTCTGCACTGATCCTCTTCCCCCTTTGTTCTGTTTAAGTCTCTTCAGGCAGAAGATCATATCTTTTTAAATGCTACTTTGCATAAAGGTAATCTGATATTACCCAGTTACTGATACAAATACTATACAAATAGCAATATGCAAGATTCTCAGGTAATACCCAATAATGGGCTTTTTATTGCCAGAGTTAAATACTATTGTTTACAACTGTACTCCACCGTCATTGTTTTCAAGACACCCAGGTCAAAAAAAACAAAACAAAAACAAAACCAAGTTTCAGTATTGCAGTATCCAGACCTTATCCAGCACATTAAGCAAGCCGAAGTATGCCTGTGTTTCTACTGACAACATCCAACAGACCCTCCTAGTAAGGAGTGATCCTCACAAACCCAGTTCAGAAGCAAGTGGAGCAAACCATGCACTGGAGGAAGCAAGAGCTATTTGCCATTTAATGGCTTCTCACACCCTGTCTTGAGGCAAAGGATGAGTCTTCTTCAGACCGAAGTGAACAGTCATGCAAGCTTTGTTCACTCCACCCTGAAGGCACTCACAGCGGTGAAAACTGGCTCAGCAAGCTTTGCAAATCAAGAAGTGCAGCAAGTATGGGAGGTACAGAGGGTGCAAGAACAACCCTGCTCCTTTTGTATACTTACACGTTTGGTTTTTTTTTTTTAAAAAAAAAAAAAGATTTCGACAGACCTGAGTTCCTTTCTTTGCCAGAACACGATCACTTCAAGTTCTTTCTGTTACTCGAAATTTCTCATAATTGTCTTGCTGTTGCTACTCTTACACAATACTGACTAAAGAAAGTCTGCCAGAAGACTGTCTCCTACACCAAACACTCTTTTGAGACCGTAAGTTAGGCAGCAGTAACATTCAGAGATAGCAGTTACAACTAATCTCAGTTCTTCCTCAGTCCCTCAAATTTCATGGCATTTTAAACATTTCCTTACCTTGAATTAAAAGAAATCACTCACTGTTTGTACATGAAACATGTCATCTCTTGGTCAGCAGTGAGGGGGGAAATATAAAGCTTCACCTGAGCTCTTGGATTCGGAATGCTTTCATTGCTGTACTACACAATTTCAAGTAGTTTGCTGAAACAGTAAGTCCCCAAAGTACATTCTAAAGGAATAATAACCCAGCCAGTTATTCTGTTTAATATCTCTGTGCTCTTTTTCAAGATTGTGCTTGCCTAGTCTGCAAGAAATACATAGCCAAGCACCAACTACCCTGTGTGTTATATACTGGAATATATATCTTGAATGATCGTGCGGTAGGAAGTTACCTCTCCTGATAGTTGGGAGCAATAGAGTATATTTTCCATTTGCCTACAATTTGTTGTTTAATCAAGTGTTACCCAGCAAAATAAAAGGTTTTAGAAGACTCCTTATAATTTAAATGACTGTACAATAATACCCAGCTTTCCCTTAACTCTTTCATATCACAAGTTTCCTCTCACTAATCACAGCCATCTGACATGCAGGCAAATGGAGATGTAAGCACACAAAGGATGTGCCACCCCCCCTCCCCAATCATTCTACTCCTGCTCCTACCAGTATGCAAATGCAGTTCTTATGCATCTCTAGTCAGCACCCTACCACAAAACCAAAACCTCCTATCCCCACCAAATGCTAATGAATGCAGCCCAGTATAGTTTGTATGGCATAAATCAGGGAAGATTACGCTCTTGCAGGCCCTTTAGCTCTGTGGTAGATCTGCACTTTCTACAAGAATGAGAAGAGCTTGGTCAGATCCTGCGCACTAATCTGCAACTTCATTTCAACATACTCCATTTGTTTGTGTCCCCTGCTGCAGCATAGCCACTTCAAATCCAAGTTACTTCTCACTTAGGCGTTTTGTTTTCTTTGCTACATAACTGTCTCAGGAGGAAAGTAGCTGTCCTGCTTACATGAAGAAAAAAAAAAAATCTCTGCACAAAACTGAACTAGTCTTTACACTTAACACCTGCTTCAACGTTATTTTTTTTTATCACAAGCATTAATGCACATCCAAACTCTCCAAGTGTCTCCAACTTATACAGCTTCTGACACCGAGGAGATTAAGTTGGTACATTTCAGCAAGATGAGGAGAAAGAAAATCATCATATTTGCCAATGCAAGGAAAACAAAAATTATTTTCCCTTTCTGCATCCTCTGCCCCCAATGCTATCAAGCAATATAGGGCAGAGACAGTTAATTTCAGCCATGTTGCATAAACATAGCAAGTTTACAAATTAGAGCATCAGCAGTTACAAAACAAGACAAACCACAAAGATTAATATAAAACCAGAATAAAGTTATTTAGGTTTATATACCTTAAACAGGATATTGGAAGCAGAACTCAGGCTCAAGCTGAGAGCATTTGGATAGACTGACCAAGCCTCTGGGAACCTGGAGGAAATACTATTGGCAACTGCCAAAACCACCCTCAGATGGTGCTTACCCTTCAGGGGCTTCCTGACAGTCGGGTAGCACAGGGTGGTCTGCTCCCTTCTCCCAGCAGATAAGGAGAGCCCAACCTATCACTGTGCCTTAGTTGACCAGTGACGCTCCAGGTGGCTACAGCTGTACAACTATTTCTATGGTGTCAAGACACACACCGGACATTCACACAAGGAGAAAGCAAAGGCATCTCTCCAAAACAGCCAAAGTAACTCATTGTCTGTAATTAACTTCTCCAACTCATGTCAAAGCATCCCTAAACAACATATTAAGTTTTTAACCATAACTTTAAGAAGTCTCCATCATCCAGCTTCTAGACTATGCAACTTAAGCATTTATTTTGCTTTTCTGCATAAAAATTCACACTCCTACACTAAGTCTACCACTTCATTTCAGAGTAGGGGGAAAAGTGATTTCTGACCCTTCACTAGGGGAGATTAATTTTAATTTGCAGATGGCAAAGCAGAGCAGACAGCCTCCAATATTCAAGCTTATGGTTAAGCACACAAAAAAAAAAAATCCACCCATACATAGATATTTTATGACCCTCAACACAGGTACAATGCTCAGGCAACACTAATCCTGCAGTGAAAGGCCAAAATAATTCAGAAGCCACAAACTTCTGAGTCTGAAAAATACCAGCTCTTAATGGCAACCACTCTATGGACACAATAAGCTAGTCAGAGGAAAAAAGTTATTAAAAACAACAACAACCACCAATTTAAAATATACATAAAAAATACTCTCAAATTCCTTTCTCTCTTCTTGCTAGCTAGCTTTTGTGGTCACTGCTTCAATAGGTCAGTAGGGAAGTCAAGTGTTTTCCATGCCTGACAGTACATTTGAGACGAGGACTGGAGCCTGCAGCAAGAGGGGAGACTGCCAGGGAAGCACAGAGGAAGGCACAGCCAAATCATTCACAGCCCATTTTGGCTCTGGTGGCATGCAAACAAAACCAAGCTAAGACTAGTAAAGAAGCAGACAGGACTAGGTTACAGACCACTTAGGACCACTCAGAAAGCAGTTTTAGACATTCCTATCACTGAAAATGGAAACACGTTACTGACTGCAACGTATTGCCAGCCCAGCCTCACCTTCCGAGGTGTAACACATACAGCTTCCACAAGACCGAATGCCATGTGTGCCAACAGCATCCCTGCCTTAGGATCACTCCTGAATCAAAGATTCACTAAAAGTTCATATTAAGAATAACGTTCCTCTCCTAAAGATTAAGATGGTCTCCCAACATTCACGCTTACCTAAAAATAAAATAAACTGATGCAACAAGCAACCTCACAACTTTAATCTTATGATTCATATCAGCAATTTGAACAAACATGTCAGTTATACTAAACTGTGAAGTTTAAGAGAGACAAAACTATAAAGGTAGTAAAGAAAATGTACAGAAATCAAGAGGAAATACAGGATTTTCCCCATGGGAGTACAGATCCTCATGTTTTTATCTTTATCTTTGTGAGAAAGCTCAGTACAGCTCCGAGTCACTCATTAAAGTTATACCACCCCTAAACATGTGTTGCAAGCATTACTCACCCATCTCTGTCCTAAAATTCAGCCAAAAATGTAACAGCAGTAGACACCATCACTGCTAAAAGGATACATTCTGTCATGGCCGCAACATCCAGTTTGCTAACATCAGGTGAGCCAGGGCAGCACTTCTTGAACTCTTTCCGCAAGTCAAAAAAGGAGTAGAAGCATTCAGGCAGTAAGATATTCTGTAAGAGGACAAAGTAACTGCTGTCAGCTAGGGTGAGAGCTTAATCTGCTTTGTTTTTAGATACCAAACTTTCTAACAATTTCCTCATAATGGGTAGGAAACACAGCCTTTGCTACAGTGAAACTCACATAGCACATTCTTAGCCACATAAGAACGTTTATAAACTTTTTTTAGCTTAAGCGGCTACCTCTCTATATGGTTTAAAGAGAGAAATGTGCTTTTTCACTGCCAGAAACATTTGCTATTATTACTAGTGCCTCAAATCCAATATATATGTAGGAGAGCAAATGCCTGCTATTGCAACATTTATCATCAATTCTTGATTCCAATTTTAACTGTAAAAAGCCAGAGGGCACTCAGTTCGGTTTATAGAGCCAAGCAAATTTTGCAAGACTAGCAGAAGATGTTTTGGTTTATAGACAAGGCTGAGTTTTCAGACACTAGTGACACTTCAAATATTTATTCCCTTAACAAAAAATAAACAACAACAAAAAAACCAACTGTGTGCAAATGAGGGCTTGATATGGGGCAGAGGTTTTCAGTCTATGTGTGGTAACTGCTTAACTTGCTCCTGGCTTCATATGCTGCAATTAATGTAGCCCACTAGAAGTCAATAAAACCCTTTTCGCCCCACCACTACTTCTACCACATGCTTTTAATTTTTTTGGGGGGTGGGAAGAAGACTTGGGGGAAGCTGTTTAAACCAACACAGACCCCCTACTCCTTCAGTTAGCTCTTCATCCCAGTGCTTCCCCACAGACACAATACTTCTTATTCCACTTGGCTGCCTATTGCCTGCAGTGCCTCTCTAGACCAAAAGTAAGGGCTTTCTGCGATTTAACAACTAGTTAACATCTTGGCATTGTAACAGGATATGCGAAAGCACATTTAGGGAGCCCAAAGAGAGAAGTTTAGGTTCCAAAACAAGTTCTGCTTTGAGAACATTAGAGCTTATCTTAGCATATGGACAGGTGCATTAGGCAAATGATACTCTTTAAAGACAAACTTATGAAAATGCAGGTGTGCTTGCCAAGATTTCCTGCTCTAGTTTTAGCATGGCTATTTTTCTTCCTCAATGAGAGATCAAGTTCTGTACTTCGCTGATGATCTGTTGGAACACTTTATGCCAATTCATTCTCTGAACATCGTGAGCTGCTAGATTGGTTCAGACCGGGCACCTTAAAAGAAATAAATATATAGTCTCAAGAGCATAGTGATTTCTGCCTATCTTGATTTTAGTGATCCCCACCCCAACCTCAGGATTAGAGTATTCACCAAAGGACTATTACAGGTCTCATAAGCATCTGGTTTACTTAATCTGTGTGCACAGAGCACATTTCAAATGAAAAATTCTTAACAAAACAGCAACAAAAGATCTTTATCAAAATTTGAGTCCCATCAGTAACACTGTGATGATATAGGAAAAGGACGCCTATCTCCGAGACCAAACAAATAGAATCATAGGAGTTGTCCCTTTTTTTAGCTACGTAGTTTAACTGCATGGAAAGATTAACTGCCTAAAACACATACCCATTACAAGTGAGAAGAAAGACTGTTGAAAACCTGTTCGTGCATTTTCTCACATTATACCCTAAGACGAGTTACATATATAAGGAGTGTACCTTCACTATGAATCATGCTCTTCTAAACCTTCAAAGGTATAAATACTTAGAGCACCAACAAGTATTAAAACCAAACTCATCCAATATCAGTTTTGTAAGAGCACAAACTTGCCCACCAGTGCCCCTTCAAAGATGAAGCAGCAAATCGATGGGCACAGATCAGTTGCAAGGAGATGAGCAGAACAGCTCAGTTAGAGCAATGCACGTTTGCAGCAAACAACAAAAAAAACCCACCAACATCAATATTGAAGCGGTTAATTCAAGAGTAGAGACAGCATATTGCTGCAACCCTATCACTAATGAAAAGTAGGCAGGACCTCATAACACTGTTAGTGATTTGGCAACTCTGAAGTTATAGAAGACTCTAGACCATGGGACTAGTCATCACTCATATCCTGCCTCAAACTACTGTTCAGCTCCTTACAAATACGAGCACCGCCCTTGGAGCGTCAACTGAATACACAGAGATTGAAAGTTGCTGAAGCTAAAGGTGAATATAAAATTTCAAAAGGCAGTTTATGATTAAGGTGGTTAACTATTTGGCAACACTTCCAAGTTCCCACTTGTTAACCCATTGTAGCTCTTACAGCTGTAGGAGCTACAAGTACACTGTCAATGCATTGCTCCTTTTTCAAAGAGTTAAGAAAATCTTGCTTCTGATTTAACTTAAAAAGGCATCTCAGGGCTACATAAGCACAGGGCACTGTCTATGCCTCCCACATGGACAGGTTCTTTAGTCTGGTAAGCATGTTAACATATGAGCAATATTTGTACTATGGTTGTGTGGGGACACCCTCATACTAAAGAGAAGTTGATAAATTCCGCAAGAAATCATATAAAGCACACCAAGAGTCAAACTTCAGCTACAACAACATACCTTTTTCGAAGCTTCAGGGTGCAGAACCTGCCTGATGTGCAACTGTCCATCAGTACAGAAACAGAAGGAAGTACCTACACCAATGTTCAGCTCATTGCTCACGGACTGATTAAACTGAAAGCAGGAACAACAAAAGACATACATGTAAAGATATGAGAATGGCTGCAGTAGGCAGTGTCATCAGTTGGTAACATGCTGTTCCTGGGAAGCAGGAACATGGAGCTGCAATACCTTTTTGTATGAGCCTAGTAAGGAACAAATCTACAAAAGTGAAGGACTAGTTAAGTACACATTCACTTTCATGATAATTATCTTGACAAGGAAATTGCCCCTTTTCCCCCCTTCTAATGAGATGTGGCCACACAGACAGTCCACATCACAGAAAATAAATCCTTTTCCAGGAGCATTTGCAAGAGCACTGCAAGGACACACGAAGCAGAGAGCTGAGGGAATGCTGGGGCCAAGAGAGCCTTTCAGACAGGGCAGTCAAGCATATTGGAAAGGAGACAGGCTTTCAGCCCTACCCTCAACAACAAACACCTCCCTGTTTATCTAGAGGCTTCAGTACTGTCTTCTTCCCAGGACTGATGAGCCACCACAAGCCTTAACAGGGCCTGCCACCACCCAGCCTTTTCAGGAGGCACCTAAACTTGGCCACTTTAAACACTGATTGGGGCTCACTTTCAGCTGAGGCTCAGGGTCCAGCATGACAGGAGACCACTATAGGGGGATGCCTGACCCTGACCCTCCTCTGTTGGGATTCCATCTCTCCCAAGGTGAATGAGCAAAAGGCAAGGGAGAAACCCCCACAAAGCTCACCACAGACCAGGCTGCCTGGCCCAGGTGTCCACTGCTCCAATGGCAGTCGTAGAGGGGATAAACAGAAGATAACACTGCCTCTACCCCCACCGGGGAGCCCCCAGGGGACACCAGCACCCAACAACTGGTTATAGGGTGTCACCTGTCTCAATGCTTGCTCCAGCGGCGGAGCCAGTGCCAGGCTCTCCGCATCCACCTGGGTGATCTCCTGGCACTCAGCCGTCAGCTCCGGGTGGTCAGGCCGGACCAGCACGTCGTGCAGGTGCCCCAGCTCCAGAGAAAGCAGAGGAGGGGCAAGTCAGCTCCCTAGGCTGGAGGCCCCCACCTACAGCACTGGCCCCTGCCCTCCACCAGAGCCTGCTCCAGCCTAGGGCACCCACCGCCAGTCCAGCACTGGGGCCACCCAGCCTGTGCCCAGAACGGCAGGGGCCAAGGGGAGCAGCAAGTCGGGGTGCTCCCCCCTCGGGGGAAAATACCTCCTTACTCCTCAGGTCGACCACTTTCCACAGGAGCTGGAGCAGCTCTCGCTCATCCGAGCCCAGCCTTGCCCCGTTGGTGCCCGCCGTGGTCACGAAAAGGATCACCAGGTAGTCGGGAGACGCCGTCATGGTGCCACCGGGCCAGTAGAAAGGATAAAAAAAGGGGAGGAGAAAAAAAAAAGGGGAGGGGGGAGGGGAAGAGAAGAAGCCAGAAACTTTCCCTGCTCGAGGCGCTTCCGAGCGGCAGAGCCCCCACCTGCAGCCTCACTCCCTGAAGACCCGGCGCGGGGGAGGCGTAC